TTCTCTGTGACAGCTTGTCTTACCAGATTAAAAAATGAAAGGCTGTGATTTTAGCCATGGAACTGAGAAGAAATTAGACAGTGCTACAGTCGCATTAAATGTTTTTTTTTAAATTTTCTTAATAAATAAAGTTCAGGTTCAGTAGGAACGATATTATTTAAGCATAGCTGTACTGCCAGATGGTGAACCATACTGCGGAGTAGCTATGACATAGGATCCGATTTTCCCATAGAAGTACAAACTGTATATACATTTTATTGAAAAATGAGTAAAATGGGTTTCCTCTTTATAACAATTGTTGTTAGCGGCCTGAGTGGTGGGGCGATCATGTAGAAAGGCGTTAGACGTGGACTCGCTAATTTGCATCAGCAGCATCGCTGTCCCATCTGGAGCGTCGGCAAAGCCTCGCCCTAGACCGTTGGGTACTGGCTGGTCGTCAACCAATCCCAGCTATTGGTGAAGTAGTTAAAAACGGTTACCCTCCAAGGCAGGGGTGATCTATTTCAACTAAATGACTTTGAAATGCCCAACGAAACAAGCGCAATTGAAGGTGCCACTAAGGTGGAGGGATTGCTGATTTTTATGGGATATCCTCTCATTTTGGTGTTGAGCCATCTGTGGACATTGGGCTACCAAAAATATGTGAAGACGAAAGTAAGTGGCGTCCTTAATAAGTAACTTTGGTGGAACTTCAAAATACTAGGGATTAATCAGCCACCCATCTGTGTAGAAAGAACATTTCAAATTCACATTCTGAGATCATATGGTAAAGCTTTGGTTACCCTCGACTTATTTCACTGGTCGAGGCATAGGACCTACCTGCTAATATAGAGTGCCATTTCATTACTCATATTATTATCACTTAAGGTCTCCGTTTAATGCAAATGCACCAATAGTGTTTGCTTATTCCCCAGCTCAACTTGCGCCTTTACTCTCGCCAAGTAGGGAAAGGTGTAAATAAGAACATCTCATTTAAATTTTGTTATTATTTTGTGATTTTGACTTAAAATGTTCTAAGGTGTTACTACTGCTTAGATAGTGGAACCTGTCTCAAAGCCTAAGACAAAGTTACGGTTGGACATTTTCATATGCGCCTTTCTGGGGCAGTCGGTGTGGATATTCACTCTATCAGAAAGCGCGGCTTTTGGGACGATGGTAGGTCCTATGGTTGCTTTGTCGATTGTTTCAGCTTCTTCAAATAAGGAACTGCCATTTGACACCACCATCTCCCATAGCACTGGGAAGCAATACTTTACAAATGCCAGGTTCTCATCCATTTGTTATCCACGGAGGTAGATTGAAGCTCGAGTTCTTGATAAATCGAAAACTAGTCCAAAAGACGATCTGTTGATGTAGAAGTGTTAGCGCATTTTTTAAGCGAACAAATTCCAGCCCTCTGATCTGTGGGTGGTCCTTCCTAGATCGGTGTATCTGGTCCCGCATGGTACGCACTTGCGGCGGCCATGCCAACGGTGTTGTTCATGATTCCTCTGGTTCGGTGTCGTATGGTCGCGCCTGGCGCGAGAACGTTTCTACACATCATCCACGGACGTTTTGGTCGTACTGCTCACCTTATGTTCTGCACTTTGGCCCTTCTCAATAATCTCTCCCTCGTGGCCACCATAATCGAAAGTATGCCCTCATCACACATGCTGCTGGCAGAACTACTCCAACTCTCATGAACGAGTGGTTCATTTAAAAGGCCTAATCTTTCCGCCATCCACAGCTTTTTACAGTAAAGCGAATTTACTAATTGAATGAGTACAACTATTTGTGAATTTATGCATCACCTCCAGGGAGTTTAACACTACACATGCCATTCAGCTTTAGATGATGAGGAAGACATTCATGCACCTCCACACGGTGACTAACTGACGTGCCTCAACTCCTCATTGGCAGATGTGGGAATTAAATACGGCCATTATTTTCCTCTCTAGCATACACATGCACACACACAATCGTTTATCGTTTTAACTTATTAGCCTAGTACAAAACAGGGAGGGAGCATGTAGAGAGCACACAAAAATGTCGGTGCACATACGCTAGTGAACCTTCTGCATTAGCAAAATAAAACGTGCCCTCAGCCAACCCGTCAACATTAAAGCGAATGACGAGAATTAGAATTACGCCCCCAGTCTCACTGCTCGTGTTGAATGCAATCAACAAAATCGAGTAATTACTCAAAATATTTTCGTACCTATTCCACCACGTATAGCTTACTTTCGTTTATAGCTGGGAACAAAGTATTCTCGAGCATTTCTACGGAAATAACCTTTGATTTGGTGTGGATTGTCGCCATAACCATCGCTGGAATTTGCGTGAGCAGTGTGAATTTACGACAAATATTCCCTGTCTGCGTTGTGGGCAGTGGATTCCTCATGCTCTCGTCGATGGCATTTTTCATCGGAGTGTTCTTTCTGAGTAGCAACCCCAAACTAGGTAATTTCTTTAGCAATCTCCATCGACCTTGAAGATCCCAATGCTTTTACCTAGAATTGTAGACGTACTGGAATTTCTACTACTTCCATGCACTTTACTTTGAGCAGTGAGTATTGGGAGAGTAGCTATGAGATATGGTGGAGATCTTTTTTTCTGGAGAAAGTAATATTTTCTTTTCTGTCAGCGAAAAGTGAAGTGATTTTGACTGAATAATCCTAGTTTATTTGGTGCCTAAGTATGTTCTCCTTAAAAAGTGCTTAAAAGAACTAATCATAGGTTGGTGAATTGGTGAGATGTATGCGATGTCGTGATTTCTGCCTTGTAGGTTCAATTGATAAGATTTATGAGGAGAATGTGGGGGAAATTGATCTTTATTCGAATACAACTAATCGGATGTCATTCCGCAACTCCTACATCTGGCTAATGGCAACAAGAAAATTCTTTCGTAAGTGCTGACTGATTCTCAAGGGAAATGGGTTGACTTGCATTACACCTGCATCAAACTCCTTTGAGCACCTGACAGCATAAGCCGGGACCATTTTAACTACTACACTGACCTAATGTATACAGTGGATTTGGGTGATAGCAAACCACGGGATGTGCACGTTGACTTGAACTAGAACTAGCCATTCATTAAAGATAGCATTGAAACAGGTGGGTTGACGCCAATATTTATGGACCAAGCAACTTGGCAAACTTGTTGCTATGCGGCACCGGGTGAGGAAAGCATTGGAGTTTTAGTTTCGTCGATGCTGTGGATGACTCTTCCCTACGCCTTCGCCACGGCCTGCAGTCATGGTTTTGTTGCGCTGATACCACGCGGAGAGTTGGTTAACATGTCTGGCGAAGCTGTCTACTGTAAGTGAACACAGCCGTCAATTTATTCTTCAATTTTATGTTGAACTTAATGCTATCCAGTAAGAGTAGTCTGCTTGAGATGTTGCATGGCTTAATTTATGGAATTTTGTCTTTGTTAAAATCCCTTTCAGTACAAGTCTTGACTCAATATTTTGCTAGACCAACATATGCTGCCATCTCGGCGGTGCGGTATAACTTCATGAAGCCTCAATTTTGAGATTGCATGCTGTCACACAAATCGCCCTAGTTTAACAAGATTTCTTACAATTCAACGGAAGAGCAATGCGGACATAAGGAAAAGCATTATCGATGACTTAAGATCCTAAATGCAGAGCAGTTGTGATGGACAGCATACATGTGAGGTGGCAGAAGAAACTCGTCAATGTTTAGTCAATTTCATGCGTGGGCAGGAGATTCGGGCATCGCATTCGTGCCTTCTGACATCAATAGGACTTTTGGAAAACCAGAATAGTTCTCGTTGATTATTACAAAAGATGCAAAAAACACGCTAAGATTTGGTATGTCCTTCAAATTTGAGCTGTTAAATTAAGGCTGTCTTTACAATCCAACATTGGGTGGCACATCCCATTGGCATTAGCGAGTGAATATACCGACGCCTTAAAAATTAGCATCGCAATGAGATACCTCTTTTGACTTAACAGCCCAAACTTCGGCGACGGTAGCAAAAGCGTTATTTGGCAGAAGCGGTCTACTGGTGCTTTTTATGATGTTCGCCTTCATTATTTCAAATATCTCCGTGTTCCAACTCTTCTCAATCAGTTCTATTCTCACTTTCGACATCTATGCTATTCATATAAGGGTAAGCTACTAACAACTAAGGGCTGACTTCTTTTGAAACAAAGATCATTGTACAAATAGAAGCTGGCTTGTGACAATTTCTCATAGGAAAGCAAGCTTTAGGGCTGAGCAATGGTAAATAAGCATTCCAAGACTTATAAACAACGCCAAATACCTTTTGTGATGCAGCCATTTCGGGTGTGCTTCGACGTCAATTGCTGTTTATTGTGTGGAAAAACGCGTGATCTTATTTTTCGGCCAAAAGACAATTGCGAATGTGTTCCCGTCACATGTTGTAACCAATGCCAGCTCGACCAGGCGTAAGTAGTGGCTTCCTCATGTAACATTTGATAAGTATTCCCATTCTCTATATTTACAGGTGTTAATGTTTTCGTGGACAGCTTTTACTCTCACAAAGTAATTATAGGGAGCACATTGAATGGACTCAGTAGCACCTTATTGTAGTTCAACTTTTGATTCTTGCTATCGTCTATGAAAGCGATGATGAAGAATTTTAGTACTTAACTCCCCTACCGAAGGAAGCGTCGCGCAGCTAAGGGGCCGATTTTGCCGCCGTGCGAATGCAGAATACATGCCAAATACATGAGCTACCAGAAACGTTTGGCGAATGTACGACGCACATCGGTCCTAGTCATCTTCTCCGTTGTTCTTCCAATCGGTCTCCTTTTCAACTTCCCCGCTGTGAGCTCTAAATTGTGGCTTCGACGGTTAAGGTTTGAATCTGCAACAGGCGTGTTTGCATGCATGAATGTTGCATTAATGCTGAAAAATACTTTCTTGAATCCATTTGTAAAGTTAACCCAAAATTCATGCTCGTATGCCTCAAAGGATGTATGGCTTCACTTAACCTGTGGATAGCACGATTTTGCCGTCAATGCTGTCCGTCACTATTATTATACCCGGCCATTTCTGCTACATAAGTAAGGCTTGTAATTCTTTTCCACATGCAGGAAGTACGTGGAAAAAAGAGCGAAAATTTTATGTGATTTAGGTTAAATCGGTGACCTTGAATGGTGGAATTAATACAGTGGTGTCAGCCGCTTTAGGAAGTCTCCTGTATTCCTTTTTTTGGAAAAGAATGACGTCGGCTGGGGTGGTAATAGGAACCGCCTTGAGCTCCTCCATTGCTGGAATTCTGTGGATTCTGCTAAAGACCCTCACTGCTTTGGATTCCAACTTCGGCATCAGTAAGTTTGTTTTTAACAAAATTCTATTTTGAAAAGTGAGTTTGTTGACACACTAATCACCTAGTTGTAGCTCAATTAGATTGACTAAAGAGAGGAAAGTGTTGAATGCAGAGACGGCCAACCGTTTACAGGTCAAAAATCACTTATGGTTTCGGATAAAAGTGCATGTTCCGTTTGACAAGGCTGCTCTTAATTACTGTGACCAAATTAATCTTTCTGCTTCGCAATTCAGAAACGACTACTAACCACGGAAAGTAGTAGAAGGAAGATGCATCTCCTCCTGCTCACTTGTACTTGACCTTGTCCTTGAAATTCACTTAATTTTAGAGTCTATTGGCATATACATGAAAGCATGGGAAAGTTTTTTTAGTCATGGAACTTTAAAACTGGATTTGACAAAATATAAGCGCAGTTCTGGTTATTCAAATGTACCTAAGTATTTACTGCTGGTTTTAAGATCTTGTGGTTCATGTGGTGCTTTGCCAAATTTTTAAGCTAATCCATTGCCATACGGGAAGAATCCTTGATTTCTGTTATTTTAGCAATAACCAGTTTTACATTTCAGGTGCCGGTGTTCTAGACATTACGCTGTTTTCGGTTGCAATCGTAGGAGGATTTCTTTTCCCTCCTCTGGTGGTGTGCATTGAGAGATTTCGCAAGGGATTTCACAGCAGAGACAACGCGAACATGCAATGCCAGTCATGGCACCGTATCTACGAATTGGACAACCCGTTAGCTCCCTGGGCTTTCAGCTTCGCAGAGTAAGCTGTCTACAATATTGATATTATGTCTAACTTAAAGGTAATGCAGACATCGGTGCTGCGTAATCTCCGTCGAAGATCAAGAAGGAGTGAGATCTTTGAAATGTGTCTGGTGGAGAGCGCAGTAGCATTGTAGGCTTCGCGCTGCCCATCTACAAGTTCAACGATTTTACTGATAGGGAGTAGCGTGAATATAACGTTGTGCAGTACAACTTAACACTCACAAAACCTGTCTTTTCAGCATGGAAGCGGTGTGCAGAACAGAATTCATTACCATTTGTAGTGACGGATAGTACGCCGAAGGGATTTCGCTTCCAAATGCCTCACTAAATCAAATGCAAATGAGACTGTTCATCTGTTGTGGATCGTCTACGCTATAATAGGGATACGCATTGAAATGGTAGATTTAAACATTTAGAAAATAAGACTGATTTGGCAACTTATATTCCTGGAGCATTGGATTAAAGGCACGAAGAAAATTCTGTTAAAAAGTATTTCACAAGGCCAACATTTTTTTTGCAAATTAACAAGTGGCTTTTTTAGGGCAACTAACGTCATCTCATTTTACCATGTGTTTTGCAGATCATTTTCACTTCGTAATTTCGACATGGAAAGTTACAACCAACCTGATCCAGAGGAAGTGAAAAGGTTGTATAGACGTTCCTGGTATTTTGCGCTCGGCGGTCCCATTTTATACCTCGTCCTGTACCTTCTCATAATTCCCGCTCCCTTCTATGCTGTCGGCATCTTGGATCTTACCTTTTTCAAGATTTGGGTAGGTCGAGCAATGCAATACTAATTAGCGCCGATGAGTTTCTAAGATCGACTTTAAACTATCAAAAAGGGTGGCTTAAACGAGACGAACCTATTGTTGTCCAGCCTGATAATTTTTGTGGAGAACGAAATTCAGACCTGGAAGAAGGCATGTAATTTATCTTGGACATACTTAAGCATCTTAGTTCTTAAATAATTCTGATTATTTTAAGTCAATAGTGTGTGAAGTTTGTTCCACAGGAAGATGCGCGATAATGATGGAGCGAATCACCCCAATATTTTGTATGCTGCATGCAAAATTAGTTTTATCTAGGTGAAACAGACAAAAGTAAACCATGATTGTCCAGATATTTTGCACTTAGCTTAGCAAAAGTGAAACCCTAGAACTTAAGAAGCACGGAGCTTCAATTACCTTAGCATTGGCAAAAGTCGGATTTCAAGCTTCGGCAGCCCATCCTATTAACGTGACGTTGAAGTAACCAAGCCACTGTTGCAGCCCTTGCGCTATTTTCCCTTACTAGATCTACTTGTTGTTGGTCATACTGATAATCTCCGTGGGTGTGGTTTTCTTCATGCCAATCGTTTGGGAGGGAATTCACCTGTACTATCTGCAAAGGGGCCGAGCGCGGCCGCGGGACGAGCAGCACATACTTCCCACCATTGAGTGTTCTGAGGTTCTCCAAGATGATTTTCAGTCACCACGCCCTTGAAGCTGAAAAAATGTGGTATAAATCATTTGAATAGTTTGGTAGTCAAAAATTTAGAATCATGAAGGTTTGTGCCGAGCCATCATACTAGTAACTAGGCCGTTCAATTTTTCTTTAGCAGATGTGGAGTCAGGTTAATGAATCTGTTTTGAACTTGAAGAAACCTATGCAAAGAAATTATGTAAAAATCGTCAATGGTGGCTCCAATTAATGGCTGTTAATAGCAAAATCTTGAAGACAGACTAACTTGAATGATTCTGTTTAATTTTTAGACTGGTAAGTGGAAATCTCTCGACGGATATCATAACATTTCTCCCATTTCTCGAAGCCCATTAATGAGTCTCAGTTGCCACGATAATCACCTTAAAAAAAAACAAATAAATTTTGTCAATGTGCTAGCCTTTTGGGTCAGTTCTGTCTGTAACATGGAGAGTGGCCGGCCGCCTGCCCTTCAGTTAAAATGGTCTTAAGTGTGGGCGTTGTCTGCGGCTCTTCGTGCCTTGCCAACGCCCAATCTAAGTGGCGCATCACCATTAAGTTGCTATGCGAGCGTGCTGGATTTATAAAGATTCTGCCGCAAAATACCCACACCTTGCTCCACTTATAGCGAAATTATTTTATTTGGATTTGTTTGAGAAAGGGAAGGTGTAGAAATAGATGGGCACTGCGCCACAAAGAATCCTGTAGAAGCGGTTGAACGATTATCGAATAGAGATGCGTAGTAGGTCTCAAATAAGGGAATGTGACACATTAAGTACTCTGAGTGTCACCATCAAGGAAGGTGCTCAAGACGTACTACCATTCTCCATTCGGTTAGATTTGTGTGGGAGCGAATTACCTTGGTGATGGTGCAAGCGAGACGAATTTAATAGCCCTGGCAGTGACAGGAGGTGAAGAATAGCATTGGATCGCGGTTTCTGGTCCGGTGAACAATACATTAGCAAAACGGTGAATACGAAAGAATTTGAAGTGAGGTGACTCTTACATTGGCCATCGTGACTGGACATCGATGCTAACTAAGGATTTCGAAAAGCAGAGTTAACTGTTATACATTATGCAGGTGTCAATAACGTCTTTGGATGAATATTGGATCGAAAGGAACTAGGTTCATGCAGTCATGCGATTTCCACATAAACTAGAGGTAATGAGTTGGAATTGATGATGCATTAAATGGGTCTTTTAAGGCTAAATGGAAACTTGTAATTTCGAGAAAGATAACACAATGGTAACCGGCAAGCACATTGGGGTAAGGCTTGCTTACTTATACAAATCTAGTTCTGATTTTATCAACTATGAGGCTGAAGAGTGGCTCCCAGAGGATAAGTAAGCTTTGTAAGTGAGAAAAATTGCAGTTAACAACTTGTAAAGCTATGCATTATTCATAAAACATTTTCTGAGTTTTAAGAATTGAGAAGAGAACTGCTAAGTCCTGTGGAACCAGGTAAACACATGCAAAACAATGATTTGGATTTTTATTGAGGCTCGTGACAGTGACTAATGCAATCGTTAGTCTAGCCAAAAGGCTAAGAATTTAAATAACGCTTAATGAAAGAATGCCTTCATTGAATGCGGGTGTCTGCACATGATTGATTAGGCAGTAGTTCTGAAAGGTAAAGAACGGGCGAAGCTTGCGTACTCATTACAGTATGGAAGATCAGCTGTCTCACTTTGATTTCCTTTCTACCATGTTCAGCAACTAACTTAAGAGCTACATAAAAATGCATAGCATTGTTTCACAAACTGATTAAATTGAACTTGCTCAATTCGAAATGCACAGTTCAGTCAAGTTTAGATCCACCTTAGGAAAACGCACTAGGTAGATTCTGCAGATGTGACAGTTTTAACAGCTATAAATCTTAGCTACAAGACTAAAAACATGAAAATGTTAAAGTATCTTAACTGTCATTCTCATTTTTAACAGTTAAAAATAACTCGAACTACTCACAAAAGTCAAGTAGCATAGAATAAATTCTTGTTAGATTGTTGTTTAATAATTATTAAACGAATGACGCGAAATCGAAAACTTCGGACTTTGAGGTTAAGATATGTAACCACACCACTTACACGTTAAATTCTCAAGAGATTAGGAATTGTCTTAAGTTCACTGCCACCAAAAGTGAGTGGCTGAAGGTGTAATAACTGGGTGGAACAGAAAACCTTGCGTGTTATCTTGGCAGCAAGGGGGAGGAGAGAGGAGAAGAGGGGGAGCGGAAAGTGAGTCTATTCCACTTAAAAGAAGAAGTGTTTCTTAGGCAAATAAATAGTCTATCATTTCAAATAACTATTAGACATCTTAGTCAATATTAATTCAGGAGTGAATGCACGCTTGTGCCATATGAATGGAAAGGCTTAACTTGTTAGGAAGCCGAGTCACATTGCCGGTAAAAGTGTAGAACGCTGAATGGCGTAGAGGAATGACTAGAATCAATTTATTAAATGTAAGGAAAACCTGATAGTTGCTACCGCGCTTAACCTGGTTTGAAAAAGTACTATTTGAGCATTAAAATGGCAGGAAGAAGAAGTGCGATAAATGCGAATTTCCTCAAAATTTCCCCACAGGAATTCACGAGCAATGAATATCAAACTTATATGGTGGCAAACTTTTGGGACTGGCGCTATTGTAATTTCGTTCAGACTTTAGAAGCCTATTACTTAAGTTATAAGAGTGGTCAAGAAGTTGCCTAAATGAATAGGGAAGATGAATATTCATTCGTTGATATCGTGTCCACTTGTTGTAAAAGGTTATTTGTAATCTGCGAATATGGTTTTCAAGAATATGAATGATTGTTACATCTTTTAAAAGTGTTGTAAAAGCATAAGGCTTATCAGGTAAAGAAATAGCTCATGCCATGGGTGTGGGAGCAAGAGGTGGCCAATTGACTCAAAGAAAGTTGCAGTCGAACGGATTGGCTGCTGTGGAGACAGAAAAATTATCGGTCATTGGCGTTCTGTGCAGATACAAAACATCTCCCGTCAAGGTAGCACCACTTTTCGTGGAGGGCTGGGGCAATCTAATGTCTACGAGTTGGGTTAACCCTTTTCTGTTGATCATTTTCTATCCTATCCTTATGCTGATTATCAATATTATCGCTCATCTATACATAAAATGGGTAAAAAAACAGGTGGGTTTGACTTCATTTCGTATACCGCCTCTACTTCAATAAATATCAAATAGAATGGCGGAAATTTGCTCAATATTAGTTTAAAAAAATCTGATGTCCTTAAAGCTGGATGCCTTTCGTTCTAATTAGTGTATCGAGTTGAGCCTGCATTTGTTCTATATCAGCTACTGACAAGGCATTATTAATGGTTACTTAGTGTTGCTTAAAGAAAGCACTATCATCTTTTTGTATTTTAAAGCCAAAACCACATGGAAACGGTGAACAGAGTCTACTGAACTTTGGAGTTGTTACAGTTGCGTTGGCCATGTATTCCACAGGCGCTTCCGCACTCACAGTCAGCAGTTATTCGGCTGTGCAGGTAATGCACATATCATCTAAGATTTGGTAGGAGACTGCCCCATTCCCTTAACTTAGTTCCCAAAATGTCCTGCATACTACTTTGACTTATAGAATTTGACAAATCTCAGGTCGTCCCCATACTTTAAAAACTTGGTCTGTGCATGAAAACTCATTGGATGAGCTTAACTAATAATATTGAGGCATGGACTCGTGATAAAGAAAAACAGTTGATTTCCTGGATTACAGCATGGATTATCTGGTCCTATGTGGTTCATGGTGGGGACTGGGACGCCCCTCTGTTTCGTAGGAATCCTGATTACGCAGTTTAGAACCAGAGCTCCGGGCGCAGAAACTTTTCCCCAACTGATGCTGGCACGATTCGGGAAGCGAGTACACCTTCTATTCTGTATCTTCACAATTCTTAACAACCTCTCCATTGTTGCAGCTGTGGTGAATAGTAAGTCTTCTTGTGAGAATCATCAGAAATTTGTACCTCTTGAGACTAGTTTTAGGTCGCCAACACCTCATCAGAATGAAGTTGATGCTTTGTAGCTCCTTCGTCAAACAGGAGACCCGCAACACCAAAGTTGGACCCAAATTGCATTCTAAGATATATTCGTAGCGAACTAAAATGAAAACTGGTAAATTTGCAAAAGAGTGAGGCAAAGATAGTCACCATCAAGTACATTGTATTTAGCTGTTTCTTTAATACTATTACCAGCTACCATGAGTGTGGACCGAGACATCATTTAACCTTTTTGCAAGCGAATGCGACATTCTCTGCTCACTGAAATGTCTAGTGTGAGCTTGTGCCTATGCACGGCTGTTTGCAGAAACAACCACAAATCCTAGCACAAACATCAAGTTTAGTAACAAGTGGCTTTAACCTTGACATTCTATGGTATTTTGCTTGGCAACTAGCTGGTTGTGGATTCTACTCAGTCATATCGAAAAATGTGACTTTTGAGTTGGCGTGGATAATCACGGTGGTCGTCAGCGAGATCTGCGCAACTGTCGGCAGTATGTCCAACCTCTTGCCGTTTAGCTCCGCCATGTTCATCTACCTCCTGACTATGACTCTAGTTATCACCATCAAAGTATTCTTCTACGACGAGGCTGGCTTGCTGGGTAAGGAAATGCATAACGATCACTCGTCAGGTAAAACGCAGCAATTAAACAAGCCTAGTGTTGTGCAAGAAAATGTAAACTCAAAAGCACGACTGAATAATAAATTTAAGCAACAACATGCCCTGATGAATAAAATTATATGGTGCTATTATGTGATTACGGTAAAATGCAAAGTATACATTGGCGTTTCTTAAATCCTCTAGGATCGATTGAGAAAATCTACAATGCTGCTCAGGAAGTTGACATCTTCCACAAAAACGATGGAAGCGATCATTTGACCATGCGAAACTATTTTTCATTTGAAATGGGACTGTGCAAATTTGTAGGTAAGGTTGCGATGCCTAATTCCAATCGTCATCGGCCACGAAATCAGACACACTGGTAACGCTCATACGTCCTTACCTTTGCTACTATATGCCCTTTCCCACTTCGTGAATTAGGTAGACTAAAGAAAACATAAACCAAGAAGAACGAATGAAGAAATGCAAGCAGGTCATCAAGCACCTCTATAACTTTTCTCGTTTCAGCGCAAATTGTCGAATTAGTGTTTGATCAAGCATTATGGGAAATTTGTTCGTTTTTCCCTCCTGGTCAAGAAAGTTGGGGGATCATAACAACTACTTTGATATGGTGTGCTTTCCCTCTTGTGTTCGGTAGCAGTTGCGGCTTCGGGAGCTTGGCCCTGAGCGCAAATAATGGAACCCTCGAACCAGCGAGTAGGTCGTAATTTTACTGCCACTTTATTTAGCAAAAGCGATGCGTTCGTAAGCGGTCATAAGCAAAATGTTTTTAATACTTCCTCTGAGAGAAGTTAAAGATTATGTGGTATCTGCCATTTAGCAAGCCCAACGGTGGAGATAGCGAAGCGCCTTCTTGGTCCAAATGGTCTCTTCACACTCTTCTCTCTCTACGCCTTTGTGGTGACAACAGCAACACATTTGCAGATTCTTTCCATCACTAAGATACTGACGTTCGACATATATGCCGTGCATTTGCGAGTGAGTTGAAAGGCACGAGTTGTACGAATTGTAAGGCGAAGGTGTTGGTAAAAGACCCGTCTGCATTTTTCGATAGCCATTCCGAGTGTGCTACGAGATCAACTGCTGTATCTTTTGCGGCAAATCAAAAGAGGAAAAGACACGTCCGAAGGACAAATGTCAATGCTGCGAACCATCCGACTGTCTGCAGTGTCAGGAAAACTTAAAGTCTGTCACAGCTAAAAGTAGTGACCTTCCACTTAGTGGATGCGCATCAGCAGTTTTTACTCCCATATGGATCACGCAGTTGCCGTGCGGCATCACATTCTCGATGCACTTTAAGCCTTTGATGTGTCAATCAAAGATATGTTATATGTTAAATCATATGATTGTTACTGGGATAGTGTGACTCTTGCGATATCACCGCATTAAAATCCACAGGCTAAATGGACTAGTTTGATGACCTTGAAACAAACGAACTAGTAATGAATGTAATTACCCTTTTTATTTAGTAATAAAAAAGGAGGCTACAACAATTGTGCACTTGGTTGCAACGTGCACAACAGCTACTTAAAGTATGTGGAAGGCTTGAAAAATGTCCGCCGATCTTCTACTCTCATCGTCCTTTGTGTAATTGTCCCCATGGGGTTGATTTTGAATTACTTTTCGGTAAGTGGAGATTCGTATTGTATGCTAAGGAGAAAAAAAATTGTCGAATATCAAATATTATCCCAAAGCATGCTAGAAGGATCCCATTAACTCAATCTATCTGGTTGACGAATGGAATAAGCACTATATTGTTCACTCTAGTGAGTGTAACCAAAAGTGCACAAAAATTGAATTTTTTCTTAAATCATCTTAAAGAATCTGTTGCCTTTCTTTATGCATCACTTTTTTTTGCTCATAATACCATTGAAGAACATCATAAGAAAAAAGTCCTGACGATTGGACTAACTTTGCAAATCTCGAGTGCTACACCTTAGTATTAGCCGCAATTTTCAGACATGAAATCACAAATGAGGTCAATAAATAAAAAACAGAAAATGATCCAGTCTAAAATAGTCAGCTATAGTTCTAATCCCTGAAAGTCTGTGAAGAGGTGAGGTCACATACTAACTCCTCTTTTCAAGCATGTATTTCTATTGCAAGCTGGCGATGGCGTACCAAGTGCACTTCGCCTGGGAACTCTTTCAAATAGAAGGGGTGAAAGGCAGAGAATAAGAGTGTGAATACAGACCCTGAAGAGATCCCATAAGGGAAGTTGCTTGTTGCTATACGATTAATAATGGGTAGGAGGAAAGCGCAACGGTCGACTACTTCGAGGCGTTTGATGGCGAGAATCAAACCAGATGCCTATGCTGCCAGTTCGTGTTGAGTGCATTACTGTATTTCTACGCTACCCAATATTTTGCTTTTAGATTGTTGAAGTTATTTTAAGCGAATTTCCGACGCATTTTATTGTGGGAGGGATCGGCAGCTTTATACTAGCTCTATTCTGGAACGAACTAACGGAACCTGCCGTGCTCTTTGGAACTGTGGCAAGCTCAACTGTTTCCATCACATTTTGGATTGTACTATCTGAAGTGAAAAATCGCACAGATTTACAGATGAGTAAATCGTTGTCCATTCGATTGGTGATCCCCCATAAATGTAGCTGTTGCAACCATTAAAAATAATTTATTAAAACTTAGTCTATATGGGTTGCATTAGTGCGAATATTGAAGTCATTTGTATTCAATTTTGCTGCTTTTCAAACCGAGTCTTCACAATGTTGAGAGCTCTCTTTACTAATTTCAGGTAACGATCAAGTAGCTTTGGTGACGAACGGAGCTGGAATTTTGTGCAGCTTTGCGCTACCCGTGATTATCGTTTTGGCGTCCAAGCCAAGTGATTTAGAAAAGTCAAGCAAAGGAAAACATGTTACAACATGGCAACGCACACTGGACCTTGGAAGTCCAGTTAATCCATGGGCACGCATCTACTCACAGTACGTGAACCATCTTGGAGGGTAACAAATCACTAACAATCTGTAGGATATTCAGCCTTCCGCTATCAAAGTCAGGTCTACTAACAGTGGAACAAATCAAGAAGGCCCTGAAGCCCGCTAGGATGGTAGCCTATGCGGCCTTTGCCTTGTACCTAGTTCTAGTCGCACTTTTTTTGGGGCTTGCAAGCATCCCAAAGACATTCACCTTACTGGACTTTAAAGCCTGGGTGAGTATGTGCAATGTATTACACGTAGCCGCACCGTTCCAAACTTGCGACAAGACTTTGAATCGAGTCATTGGAAAGCTCAATCGGTCCTTAGGTTTTGAATGTGCCAAATCACAACGGCAGTTTTCTTATCTAACCTCCACATTCAAAGTTCAACCAAAGTTCTGTTGTTTATCGGCTAAATTTTCACCAATAAGTAAAAAAACCGACGTGTAATAAAAGTCTTGGGAGATTTTTTCAAATTTAGAGGTTTCGCCTGGTATTTCATCCTCCACTTTTCCGGAAGCATTAAGTCTTATGAGTGCGACCTGCAATTGTATGGGCCTTCGAAATCATAAAGTCGTAAGCATGCTCTTTCAATAGGCGACTAGTAAATGCTTTCCATGTTTTTGTACTAATCACTAGCAGATGAGGAATAAAGAGTCATTAAAAATCAGAACCATCCAACGATAAGTTTATGGTAGTATGATGAAGTTGATTTAGGCGTCTGCATTTGAATTCAATTTCGAGTGAGATACCGATGAAAGGACAGGCAGAGGACGACCTCCCTTACTGTAGACCGTCTACTTAACGAACGAACTTCTGAATGTGACTTTTGAAACCAAAACAGCAACGAGATTGTAGATACTAATTTTATGAGGTTTCGATGCGAAGCAGGACTGAATTGGGAGGCTGTTGGCGGCATTAATAACTGGAATCAGTAATGAGGATGATGTTCTGCTCCAAACCTCCTGGACTGTCGAGGAAGGAGGGCGACTAATTAAGGCATGAGTCACAACGTGTTAGCTACCGAATGATTTATGGTGCAGGGCAGACCAGGTCAAGCTTAGTCCTTCGCAGGACATCTACCTATAAGGTGATGATTAAGGGACGAACCGGAAATACTGAAAAAAACTGCAAAGGCATAGCAGTCGACGTAATTGAGGAACGAATCCTCAGCAGATTTCTGACTCATGAATCATTCCCAACTTCTATCGTCAGTTGTCATGCCGAAATTCCATTTGTGCTACTGATAATACCACAATCCCATATTGAATCGTAAAAGAAACTGGAGGTTTAGTTTTTGTTCTGCTGCACTTACGAACTAACAGGATTAGTTCAACTAACATTCACTTCTGGGTTGTGTGAATATAATAACTAACCTTGGCAAGCAGTTTTACAATGCTCATTTCACTGACCTCAGTTTGTTTTCTCTATAAATTAACAAATAGTCAGAAGGGTGTGTTTCAAAAGAATCTAAGTAAAAAAGTTGGTTTTCTCCTCTTTAGGTTGTTTGCCTTCTTTTGTGGCTGGTGTGTTCGCTTATGGCTGCTATTCTACTGCCAGTGCTAAGCGAAGCTTCGCTAGTTAAACACTTTCACGCTATGCTATCAAGGCGACTGTTGTTGCATCGTCAGAGCTCGCAGTTCCCTCAAAATAGCGTCATGAACGCAGACAATCATTGAAATTCTCGTGGGAGTATCAATCAACGCGTTTACGCCAACATCGTTCGGGTTCCAGGACGTCACACCATGCATCAGTTCCATACGACATTGCTCATAATGTCATAAATTCAGCACATTTAAAGTCATTACCCATTCAATGGGACACTTCTTCTTGACAAACAACACATCTTCCCCTTTTAAACATATTCTACTAAATAATGAATAAAAAGGCATTGATACAAAAGAAATTGTGAGGAAATGGTTGGAATCGTACACCGCAATTATAATTTAAAAAGGCATGGCAAACTCTATTGACAACTTTTTACGTATACTTAGTGAGCGCCTATTGGCTTTGATCTCACCTTGAATTGAACGATTCGTCAAGTGATCACACCTTTAAGCAGATTATTGTTCGAATTTTCCGAGCACAATGGCAGCAAACAAAAATGATCTACCACGACTTCTTGAAGAAGCTTCTCACCTTGCTACAACACCCATCATCACTCATTTCAGTTCAGACTTCATGTAAAACCATTTTTATTGCCATATCGACGGTCTTGACGACATGACTGCCAAAGTTCTTCATATGACATAGGAAGGCATGAAATGCTGATGGAAAGTGCGGTGTATTGGACGGACAAAAGTAGCTTTCTAACATGCTGTATTTTAGTCCTGACCACTGGACCCCAAAGAGATGGTAAAACCGATGTTCAAATAGACAAGGGTAATGTCTATTTCATGTCAGCATTTGAAGCGTTGGATATAATAAATGTCGTCTTTTCATAACCATATAACTTTATACAGAGAGCTCTTGCTACTAGGACAAAAAGAGTCTATTCATTGACAATCTTGAACTGATTCAAAACGTCTTCTAGCTGGTTCTTTAGCTGTTCATGCCCCTTGCGTAAGAAATTAACGTCTTCTTCAGCTCTTCGAGTGGCCGCGGCCAGCCGGTTGGCCTCCTTCTCCTCCAAGGCCTTGCAATTTAGCACTTCTATCTTTATTCTCTTCTCAAGGTTGGCTATCTCTGTTTCCAACTCGGCAACACGATTTGCCTGATGGTTGCGGTCAGCCTCGCGTGCCAGCGACTTTTGCAGACCGAATACCACACCGGAGGCGTAAATTGATTGCAGGGCTGATATGGTTGTCTGTACCTCATTTCGTACACGAAGCAGTAGCAAACCACGCTCAGCGCAGTGAATTGTCAGTTGACGTATCAATTCATCAAAGACCTACACCACAAATTAAATAAGGCGAAAGATGCTGATTCCACTTCCTACAACCAAATTTTAACTTGTCAGAAAAAACTAATTGAGTGGATAACTTAAAAAATAATGAATAATAATAATAAAATTGTTACAAGGAAAAAATGCCTCACTTGGGAAAATAACTCTCTTCTAACAGGGCAAATGCCCGTCATTTTAGCACCCCGTGCCTCAAGTTGTTGATCCAGTTGTTTAGTCAATTGGACGACATCGGCGCGAGACGCTGGAGCTGAAGAGACCTCTTGAATGAAGAGATCTCCTTTAATTTCCAGCCGTCGTGGGGGCATGATACTGGCAAGAATGCTTTCAGTCGACTGCATCTCGCAGATTTTGCGCGGATCAAAGCTACTCACGTTTTTGCCCTCGGATTTGGACGATTTGCTAGAGACACGCACAAGATTTTTGTATTTCAGCAAACTTGTTTCTGGCAAAATAAGCTTCTGTTCCTCGCCCATGCTGGAGAGGCGTACACGAGATCGAGTCCGCAAGACGCGCCAAAATTAAATTATTGATTGCGTCGTGCTTTCTTCGTTAAATAGCTTTGAACAGCACCACTTTCGCTTTAATCCCGCTTTCATACATACAAGTATGCCTTTCTTTGGAAGGTCTACATTAATAGCTAATTAGCAATGTGAGCCTTTATTGAGGTACTTTTCTGTAGCGTGCTGTGATGCAAAGGTATTAGCTTCTTAACCCTAGGGCGTGATCAAATTCCAACAATTTTCGGTAAGCCTTCTAGAGGCTAATGGATCCGAATGCCTTTAGAGGGATGTGCGCATGCCCAGAGGGGTCAACTCGCACACTGCTGAGGATTTAACGATAAGCATTGGCTCATGGCCGGGTAAAAATTTTATTGCGGTTCTCTTAGCTGCAGTGGTCAGTCGTAAAATTCACCCTTCCACACGGCCAGCTGCTTGTCTAATCTCATAAAATCTCATCGTCACTTTCACTTAGTCTCTGCTGAATGTGTACCAACTCCGCCAAGGTATGCCTCTCATCTCTCTTCTTCCTGTTTACTATGGCAAACGCAAAAAATAATGACAATTTGACAGCTAAGGCACTTCAATACCATTTCCAAAGTTTGAACGAGGTAATGGGAAGTCAATGTCTTCCCATTGAAGAGCCCTCATGCCTGGGTTTGGAATATACGCACACCTACTTGCCAAATATCATTGGGCTGACAAGTCAGGCAGAGTCAACAAAGAGGATTCGTGATTATGGTCCCCTTATTAAAATGGGTTGTTCCACGTATTTGGAGTTTTTCCTCTGTTCTGTCTACTTTCCCATGTGCACAGAGAGCATGGGTGAGCAGGTTCACCTAAGACCCTGCGCCTCTTTTTGCATTCACGTTCGTCAGTGTTGTGCACCCCTCATGCTGAGATTCAACTTTCCTTGGCCAGAAGAGTTGGACTGCTCTAGACTGCCGACGGATGATGAAATGTGCATCAGGCCGCATTCCTTCGATTCGGACATACATCTGCCAATAACTTCAGTTTCCTCCAATGGCGAAATATTACGGAATATTGATGGTGCCTCGGAACTTGATCCTTCCTTTATTGGTGAATTCACAAGTGAAGAGAAGGAAATCGCTAAATACTGTCTTATTGCCTTTACAGCTCAAAATGCCCTATTTTGTCTTACTTCCATAAGTCTCTATGTGTTTCATAGAAGCCGTTTCGTCCATCCGCTTCAGCCGCTGATATTCCTAACGAACGCATGCATGCTTGAAATTATTTCATATCTGCCTCAGCTACTATTTCAAAGCAATTCTTTCCCAACCACGGATGCAAATGTCACAAGCATCTTTTGTATGATCCAATTTGCTCTCGCATATTATGCGCGCACTGCAATGGGGATCTGGTTCGTTATAGTGTCGCTCTCATGGTTCCTTTCAGCCTGCAAGGGCTGGGCTCCGGAAGCCATTGGAGACCTGAACCGGTGGTTTCACGTTCTAGGCTGGGTCACGTCTCTACCACCTCCACTGTTCATTCTGATCTTCAGAAGAATAGATGTAGATGCTCTCACAAGCTCTTGTTACATTGGACATTCGGATAAAGTCGCACACCTTCTGTTTGTCATGTTACCAGAGGGTATTTTTCTTCTGGTAGGCGTCACGTTTTTAGCGGCAGCCCTTGTCTCGCTGGTAAGATTTCATTGTGAACTTAAAAGCTTGTATCCAGCGCCATCCACATTGGCAATGAAAGCAGTAAGAGCGTCTGTGAACAGAAAGCGCCTGCTAAAAGCAGTAAAAAGAGTCATTTTAACATTTATGTTTGTTGCTGGACCACTTTTGTTGAGAACAATATGTGATACCTGGCAATACTTTGACAAAGCACCCAGGAGAATGGCAGTGCGGCTTTTAAAGGCGGTCTCCATTGAGATAGTTGGAACTGGTACAACAATGGTGCTGTGGTGCAACCGCAAGACCTTTCTCATTCTTTGTCCAGCTCCTAAGACTAAAAAGCCTCTGGACGCCGATAACTTGACGCACTTCCGGCCAATTGCTCCTACTGGCAAAGGTTGGCGAATTCGACATTAAGTTCGAATTAATTTTATGCCTTATGCTGATAATAAGTTTTTTAAAAGATACTGTGTTTTAATTTTTAAGTTTAAACCGTCAATGTAAGCGAACCTTATCAAAAAGCAGAGAGGATGAATTGGTGTATCACTGAAAGATCACAGTTCAGTGTTAGTCAAGTCTAAACTTCCATTCCGCGGATACAATATTCATGAAATCCCTTAATGCTTGCGTTTATGCTTTATGGCTTCGTTTGAGTTAACTTGGTCTTCAAAATTTTAGAGTCCATAAACTCGATGTCTATCGCTCCCCTCGTACATTCCCAACGCACCTCAACGACTGAATACACTCAGCTGTTGTTAAGTCGTACGAAGCACGACCACTCGACGGCGCTGCTCTCCCACGCGTCTCAGCTGCACCAGCCCCCCATGCGTGGGTTGGTGAGTCCACACAACGAAGCGCAACTTCGGGACTGGCTTTGTGACAATCTAGGCGACATCCCACTCACCTCTACGTCTTACTCGTTATCATTATATGGACATCCAGCACCAAGACGTTAGCACAGCCCTCCAAGACCCAAGTCCCAATGAAATCTGTCAGTATTTTTCAAGTAGTCTATACATGCTGATTGTACTTTCAACTTTAAATGTAGAATATAAGTGTGTTTCCCCATGTTTCTTGGTCAGTCATTAGTATCAAATCGCACAAAACGTCAAAAAAACGTCTTAAGTGTTTCATTGAATATCATTGGTTAACAAAAAATTGGTAGGTTTGTCTAGTCATAAACACCAGCTGTGGTTAAAGTGAAACCAAGATCCTCGTCAGACGGAGGTGAACGTGAGCAGTCAGTTGATCATACATTCCTCAGCATAAACCAAAGCTAATACCTGAGTAATGTCCGTCTGAAATTCTTTTTTAAGTCAAAAATTTTGTCGCATTTACCGACATCACGAAGCAAAAGTATCACAAAGCAGCGATCAATGAAAGGGAGTAACAAGTTAAGGAATTGGAGCACTTAGAAAATCAGGCGATGAATTACAGTTTTAGCAACCTTAATAGCAGTGATTTATGAACAAATGGAGATATGTTCCCCGCCTCATTATTATTGAAAGGCGAAATTGTGAAATAGGGGAGTGAAGTGTAATGGCGAATTCTGTAACGCCAAGTTTTGAAACAACTTTGTGCAGGATATGTGGAAGGACAATTTTTGCTTGACATGAGTTACCCACCTGAAGGCTCTCCACTTATCCCCATAACTACAAATAGTGAAGGAATGGCAGTTATTGATTGACCTCGGGGTGTCGTGGCGGTATGCTGGTGGGTTGGCTAATGGCAGTGTTGATGGTGACCAGCGTGAATCCAGCGCCAACACAGATAAGCAGTGAAGAGTGTACCAGACCAAGTTGTTTTCTCATTTTGCAGGAGTTGGATAGCAAATTATTAAAGGCTATTGGAGAATGGGGCTGCTGTGTCTACAAAGATGGAAAAGAAACCAAAGTCCATAATGTTCACGAGCTAACTCTCGGTTATCATAGGTGCTTTCGAATGGATGGAAAGCCATTCACCATCATCAAAATGTGTAAGTTGGTGCAAGTGAAAATCTCTCCTCTTTTATCTCAGGGATTAGAGTATTTAAGAAATAAGGTAAATCATGCCAGTATACACAAAACTTAAGCCGCAACAGACATTTTGCTTGCTGTGGCTTGCAGCCTGAAGCCAAGATTGTCAACGTTCAGCAAGGAAGGGACACTCCGCGGTCATAAGCTACACAAAAGCGCTGCATGGACTTGTTTAGCCAGTCGATTTCACTGATCTGACTTTTGGAGGAGATAGAGAAAAAGCTTGAGTATTACAGTAGTAAAATACTTTTGCTTAAATGGCTTAGACGACCGAGGACACGGTCCCGCAACGTAACTATCCTAAAAGCCAAATTTGGCTGTCTTTTTCTTTTTCAATTCAAAGATGTCAAGATCTCAAACTTCTACAGCCCAAAGTTTCATTCCAACCCTAATGTTAAGTAAAATTTTAACTGTTGCAACTGGTTTTGTATAGCTTCAGTTATTGTAAACAATCAGCTATGACTATTTTTACCGGTTTTCCCCATAAACTGGCATAAAGCCAAAGAGGCATACAGAAAGGAACTGCATTATTCACAAAATAAATGGATAAACTTACGAACATTTAGGATATTAACATATTAGGGGTAGTCCTGAGTCTCTCTTTTGATTTTAGCACTTAAACCGTACGTGAAACTCACATTAATGACCAGTTCAATGAAATTGCTTGAACCAAATGATGAGATCAGTGTAAAAGTTGCCATAACTGGTATCCCTTGGACCAAAGAAATCGCGAATTGGTTGCAATGCATGGAACAGATTCCACCTAAAGATCGCAATTCCAGCATCCTCATTGACCATCAATATGTTCAGGTTCCATCTGGTCATGATGGCAGCCCCATGATCAGGGAACCCGACGGACCGAAGTACTTTCAGCGCATCGCAGCGAACAGGATTAAGATAAAGCCGGGATTTTGCGGAACATACCCGTTAACAGCGGAATCCAAAGCTATAGTTTTAGAGGAGAATGTCAACATTGCTGGTACGTCATCCTTTCCTCGGTTTGCTTGTTGTCATGAGATAGCACACCATCCTTTTAAAATGAGTAAAAAGTTACCAAATCTTTGATCCACATTTAAACAAATGCACTAAAAAGAACTGATTCTGTCGTGCTAGCAAAGCAGATAATATGTTGGGTCTACTATGGATACCGCGCAGGAATTACCCTGACATCATAAAAGGTAAATGATGGTAGATACATCAAGGAGTAGAAATTGCCAGCTTCAGAACCATCACTTTGACGTACGCCAATGGGGAACTGTTTTCTTTGTAAATTTGTTTCTTCCCAAAGGCTGTGGATGTGATGCCACCTTAGGTCTAACGTCAGATGGTGCATGTTTACAATCGGATTGCAACTACATCGAAGGTCTTCAAATCACGTTGGCTCCACACCGGAATTATTGCACGTGTTACGTCGATGGTCTTGGGACGAATCTGAAATGCGAAATTCTGCATAAGGGTGCCCTTCGCCTCTCCTGCCTTGACACAGAAAAATCCATCTTAAAGAGGAAGATAGCTATCATTCTTAAAGAAGCGAGTGGGTGCGAAAGTAGAAGTGAAATTACTCTTCCACCATGCGGTAAGGATAGATTGAGCCCACAATTTTTTGACAGTATTGAAGCATCACCGTGAACATGAAAGTTGTCGTTACTGCAGGTCCGTAGCATGTGACCTCATTTTGTGTTAAATATTAAAAATAAGGTCGGCGTATCAAAAGAAGAAGCCACGAAGCTCATAATTATTGGGACAATACTTTCAGGAATGTAGTCGACACCGTTAAATGCAACCATTTTACAAACTTTAGAGGTCAGTCGGAAAAAACGCTCAGTCCGTAAGCTAATGACTTTTGACGTTCCATGTTTTCGTTTAGTACAATTTTTCGTTGCTTTGAATTGATCAGGAATGTGATTAAACAACTCGTTGCGTGTTTTAAAACCATGTTTAGTCCTTTCAAGAAATTTCGCTTTTCCTCGAGGTTTAATAATAACGGTGGAACCCTAATTGAGTAGTGTAGTAGACAAAGTGAGCAGTGTTGCTTTAGGGTAAAACAAATTCTAAACGTAGTCAGTAAATTTAAAAAGTGGAAGATAAGTGGAATTGCACCGAAAAAATGGAGAGCCGTGTTTGACTGCAACATAAAGTTGGTTTAAAAAGTATTGAATTCACGCTAGCAGCGAACTATCATTTGTGAATGTGTTGACTGCAAACTCTACTGCACGTGTACGTGAAACCATTGCTTTTCGTCACTTATAAATCCTTGGGCAAACCACTCAAGTCGCCTCACCCATCAGTGTGCAACTAAAATCAGCGGGTGGCTCCATGACTTGCTTTTGGAGACCGCCTCCGGGTGCATCACCAACAAAATACCGCGTTTGGATCAACAACAGCGCTGAGATCTACTTGCTTGGCGAGGAGGATCCCTCTCACCTATTTGCGTTCATTCCCTCCAAAGATGTTCAGTCCGATACGCCATACTCCTGTCTCGTTGAGGCCTGCTTTGAAGTGGGTGAATGCGGCCCCAAATCTACATCACCCATCACCAGAAGCGATAAAAGACGCAAGTTTTAAAAGGGCACATTTAAAACTCTCATGCTTTTATCGTCCCTGCAAGTTCAATAGTTTGAGACGCCAACACTTTCCAAAAGTGTCTGAATGATAATAATAACTCGTTTTTTTCTTTGAATGTAACATAAGCCTATAACAGCCCTCTTTTTCCTTCTTGAGGGTTGTTATAATCGAGGCTTGGGTCTAGGCTCATTACTCAGATAGTTTATTAAGAAATAAGATAATTCCCATAAAGTTCCGTTAAAATGGATCGAAGTTTCGCATTTCATCTGAGAGTTTCTTTCAAATTCACCGTCGTTTACAGTTTTGTTAATTAAACATGAAAAGGCAAAAAATGCGAGAAGTCAATGGATGCAACATTTGCAAGCAAGTGGGCAGAGTCCTCGCTTCTCCACTGTGCTTCCTCCCTAATGCTGAAATTAACGATAGATTTTTCCTGTCCGAATTGGACTGGTGAATTACTTCTTTTTCCACAGAATTGCCTGTGCCTATGGGTGTGCAATTAGTATATGAGCGTGGTGGTTTCCTCCGATGCTACTGGGAGCGTCCAGCCAAAGTGGACATTCCACTGGTCCACTATCGAACATTCCTCTACGCTGATGGTCGAAAGAAGGAGATTCGGCCACCTACAAACGCTCGGAAAACAGCGATTGATTTTATCAACGAACGTTTAGAACCAAACAGAGAGTACAGTTGTGAAATAATGGCCTGTTATCAAGAGAATCGCGGTCGGTTGGTGTGTAGTCGTGCTTCCCCCAAGTCCACCATAACATCACCAGTTCCACGTAGGCCTAATTTTTCTATTAAAACGGCTCCAGAACTAATGCGTTAGGACAGCTTCGAGTCTTTGAGTCCTCAAATTGTACATACTGCAAAATTTCGTTTGCAAACTATCTCCACTTTTAATCATTTCAGCTCTTAAAAGTAGCAAAGTGTTTAATACTTTTCAATTCTTAGTCATATGGTTGGCAAACTGGATGTTGGACCATGTGTTGCACAAGAATTTCGTGAGACTATAAGGATGTCACCTGGTTTCCTGCATAACATGGTCTTAAGTCAAAAATAGTCAAATCTTACTACTATCCATCTTCGTAATTTATAGCACCTTCAAAACCCTTGGATGTCAAAATAACAACACCGGAACCAAGAAGCATCCAAATTGAATGGAGAAAGCCGGCAGAGGCTGAACTGCCTGATCATTTGCTTTATGAATTTGTCTTTAAATGGATACCGCAGGAGACCGAGTATCTGATCACCTTCAATCCACGGAAGGAGAAAGGTGGGCTGGTCTATCTGCACAAGACCGACAGAGACTATCAGCAAGTGGAGGCGAGCATTGCAGCCTGCAGTGAAGGAATCGAGGGGATTGGAGGTGGCTGCTCAGAAGCAGTCAAAGTGAAGGGAATTACTTGGCCTGGAAGTACGTTTTTCCGCTTTACATTCAGCATTTTCCATATCCACTTTGACACCTAATTATAAGAAAAGTTAAGTAAAATCATGATGTACTCTGTGCCTCTTCAATCTTTTGTTTCAAAGTAAACCAAATTATCAGTTTCTACTCCTGTTTGTCTTAAAAGTCGCAATACGTTTTTTGCAATATCACGTTTGAAAAACCATCGTAACCGATTTTAAATTAAGTCATATTGAACATCCATAACTTGTGTAACCAACAGAATCGGTCAACTGTTGCTTTGAGGAAAGCTACGAATAAGGTTTGCCAAATTGACTTGCTGGGGGTCCAGCGCGCCACTTCAGCCCCACGACAATGTTCTCCTATTTTCAGGACCAGAACCCATTAAAAAACAGAGCGTTAAGGTCAGTAACCTTAATGAGTTGATTGTGACCTGGGAAACGCCCAAGAGCCCACCAGGAGTGATGGTAAATTACACAGCGACGATTGATAACGAGCCTCATAATGTGTCACACTCTTGCAACGTGAAACACCGGGACTTTGTGAGTTCGCTATCCTGCAAGGTAAAGGACATCCCCAATTTGAACGAATTCAACCTTACTGTTATTGGCTGCATTGCGCCTAATAGTGATGGAAATGGTGGTGGATGCAGCCATCCCTCCGTACGTGCCTATCACCGCAACATGCAAAGAAGTAAGGAACTTATCACACTTCATTTCTCGAAAACCAAGTATTCTACAGATGTGCATGATTGATGTAGTAATACGAGAATAGCTAAGAAATATAAATGCAGGATTTTTACACTGTGATGCTGCCAGTCATTGTCATTATACTTTTTATCAGTCTTAAAGTGAGGCGTTGAAATGACGTCTTTTTAGGCCCATTAACTCCATCAAATGTCAGTGCTGTGGAAATCGGTGCAGGCCAACTGCAGGTAAATTTCCAGGTGGACGAGAAGCTTCAAGCGAACACAGTATATTTTCTGGCGGAAGCGAAGGTGGAAAATAGGACAGTAGCGCTGTGCCGAACATATCTAGCTTGTGTGACGCATTTCTGCATCTTGGAGGGTCTCAACAGCAGCGTCAATTACACCATCATCACGCGCTCCTGCAATGAGGTTAACGACCCAATGGACGAACTGTGCAGTCCTCCATCAAATCCTGTTTTCGCCAGTGTGACAATTTCTGGAAGGGCTTCTGATGTGGTTTTGATTTGTACCATTCTGCCAAAAATTATGTTCACACAACTTATTTAAGCTATGCATTTCAACAAAGTAGTACCAGAAGTCTAATTAAGGAAAGCGCTGAATTTTACGATTTTACAGACAGGTTTGCCTTCGTAGCATTTAACAGAATGAGGAGGAGTGGGAAAAATTGCAAAGTACAGTCAAGTCGTACCCTAGCAACTATCTTTAATTATAGGTTCGAGGATCGGCCGCCTATGTGCAATGGAAGGTAGAGTGGCTGTGAAGGTTAAGGTCCGCACACCAATTGTGGTTGTGATAGCCATTTGCTTCTTTGTCTACACAACCGTGCTCTGCATTATCCACCGCCGTAGAACACTTAAGGGCGGAGTGAAGAGACCGAAAGTGACTGTGGAGCCCATACATCAAAATGAAAACCAGTCCAACGCATTTAACAGTGCTGCATTAAATGTGCGCGAGGTAAGCGAAGAGCATTCACACCACATAAATAAGATCGCGTCACAATTAACTTTTAGTAGTATGCCGCTTTCTACGGTAAAAAACTAATAATATCTTGGTCGTTTTAGATTTGCCTTTTTATTCAAAATTATTTAGCTCAAGCATTCAGCAGATTGTTGTCAACACACATTTAAAAAATAATCAATTTTAAACTTTGAAGCTACAGATCTTATTGCGTATAAAGCCAAATGCCCGTGCTGTCTGTATTGAAGCAATTTAGGATCACAAAATGTGTGGATGACATCTGTGCTTTCCGTTGTGTTTGCAGTCTGGCCGTGATTTGTTTCGGAATGCGGCCGTACCTCATCACCGATGCCTTCAAGTTTCGCAAGTGCGTTCTCGTTTGAAGACTACTGAACAGAAAAGAAGACCTGCTGGCATCATCCCTGAATGCGTTGGAGTAGTCCCAGTGCGATGTTATTTATGACTACATTTCACTCCCAGTATAGTAAACAATTAGAACCTGTTTTCCATTGTAGGAGGATACGAAGGTCTTTCAAAACTAGAATCAGTTATTTAAAGCTTTGGTAATGGAAGTTGAGGCGAATAAAAAAAATCAATTTGAAAGAGTTGTAACGGTTTTGATAGGTATAAAAGCATGGGAATACGTAGAAGTGGCTTATGGCTGAGAATAAGCGACGAGGTAGCGGTAGTCTACGTTGGAGGGCAGAAAATGCTTAAGTCTGGAATGACGAACTGCAATCAGACAACATTCGCTGTGTTTATTCTCAATCTAAAACGCTGTGAATAAACTCAACACTGTAAGTTTGAACTTCTTCTTAGCTTTGACGTGTGGATGGGGAGAAAGCATGGTGATGGTAAGTTTTGGGTGCTTCTGCAGCACTGTGAGTCTTATCATCCTCTTAAGTACAACAAGCAACAGTTGGAATGGTTAGCTGTGGTTGTGTTCCTGAGTAGGAATGGGAAGATAGTTTCTACTCGTTACTCGAAGAACTTCTCCACAAAATACATGAAGGTTATGGCGATGGAGCTGCCCAAAATTCCAATGCTGCTAGCCGCCGATCCTGTTATATTTTTCTTAGGAAAACCTTTTACTTAAAATTGCCAAGTAGGAATTTTTGATGTACTGGTTGTATTGTTTTTGTACTGACATTTAAATGTAAAGGCTAAAGTGCAGTAAAATCCCCTGAGCTGAGTTCATAAGTGTCCAAAGACACGTAGTTGTTTAGCCGCTTATTCAAGCAGTTTGAAGGCCCGATGATTAAGGAGTAAAAAGTTAGAGAGTTGACGGACGCGTTCGTTGAGTGATACGACCTTAAAACGGAGGTACTGTTGGTCGGCAAATTGCGTATGGCCCCAAAACTGCGAATTCGGATGAACAGAATCCTCCTGTGAGTCGAGCCAGTTTACACGCACCACACCACAAAAATGGACTTCTTTGCACCCCTTTTCAAGCTCATCGGGACCCCTCCAGGAATCAGTCGTAGCAATGGTTTTCTTCAGGACGTCCTCGGGACCGGTCTCAGTAACGCTCTCTTTGGGAGGTACACATTTTAATTCTTAACCAAAATGAAGGAAGTTTCCTGATAAAAAAACGCTTCATATGGACCATTTAAGCTGAATTGAATAATTTTCATTAAACTCATCAACGCATCCATTGTTTGAAGATCTTAGGCTAGCATAAAAAGCATTAACGCGAATTTATTTTGCATCTACAGGCATAAATTTAAAGTTTATTACCCTTTCCATCTCATAGTCGTTAGTTGCCATAACATGAAAGCACACATTCTTTTGTTTTTACTTTCTCGCTCTGATCAAAGATGGCTAAAATGGCTGATTGTACAGTCACCACTGCACTGTGAGCACACGATATAGCAGAAGGCTGGTTACATCCGGTCCAATGCTATAATTTACCCATCTGATTATGTACTCCTGTCTGCGTGAAAGAAATACCATTTTTGCATCAAAAATAGTATTAATGCGTTTCTAATAAAACAGAATTATGTGTTTGCTGAATGAATACGAGGAAACCTTTACCTTTACCTATTCGATTGTAAGCCATGTTCTTAGAATATTTTTAAAGAGAACGATATGAATTTATGCTCGCAAAAAAATTCTAGAGGAATCGTCTTTGCAAAAAATGCAGGCAAAATCAAAGTACTTAATGTCCTGAGAATGCAACTAAAAGTGCAACTGCGTAAGAATAGAGAAAATATCATTTCCCAAGGTTTCGCCTTAAAACGGCGAACAAAGTTGGAGAGCAGCGCACTAGTGGTCAGATAACAGGGGATTCCAGTGCGCGATGGTTGGACGTTTCGTGGTTTATCTTAGAACCTACGACGAGCCCATCGATACGGTAGTTCCTACTGAGGGGTATGTGTTCTCTTGCCATCACCTCATTGAGCATCGCCCAACGATACAAGCACAATCACATTTTTACTTGCATCTGAGCCTCTTTTCATGTGTGCATGTAATAACAGATTACAACATTTATTTGAAATGCAACTTTAAGGTGCTGGATTTTAACTCTCGTTTGCAGATCAGTGAAGATTTTGAAATAACTTCGGCAATGGCAGCCATTATTAGAGACCCTCTTATGGAAACTCGTTTAGCTCAGCACAACTCCGTTACCTATTGGCTCACTCTCAACACTTTAATCCGTTGAAGAGGTTGCCCTTATTTTTTGCCCTGTTTTTTCGGTATTACGTCGATTACTGCCACGAGAAGTGATCGTAGGTAGGGATTAATATGCGTTGCATCAAACTGCAATTTTCTTGTAATTACGGCTTGAGACGATTACTATCATGTGTGCATAATGACTAAAAGCCTATGAGTGCCTCCCAACTTTGGGTATCCTTCCCAAAACTAATTCCGTTCGGGCTGTACCTTCAGATTTCGTGCATTACTAAGCTTTGAAAATGACTTGGAATGGACCGAATTTGTTGGCTCGATGTACAAAGGGATGTGGTGAGTGATACGAACTCTGCGTTAATTGGCCTGCTCTAAAGAAAACATTTGTGGTTTTAAAAAAACTTGCCACGGATTACATGTAAATAAATGGCATAAACACAAAATTGTAACAAAAGACAAGTTATTCCCTCCGCACCTACTCCATTTGGCCCTGGACTTCTTCTCAAAATGTGTGGCAGTTGGCTTGCCTCGTAACTTGACGGAAACAAAACTACGCACCTGGTGTAGCTTAAACGCTATGAAGCATGCCATGAAAATTTGCCCGAAGTAGTGCCAATCATTTTATTTACCTTCTGCAGTTATGCTTTATAGGAAAAGACAGAGGCAAAACTACCCATTGACAACCTACCATAAATTAATATTTTTATTAAGTGAATTTTGTTTAGGAGGAATATCTTTAAGTGCAGAGAATAACTGGTCGGCCTTTAAAAGACGTTGGGAAGAGTTGTAGGCTGATGAGCTTTGCAAATAAATGGGGCAGACAAGTCAACAAATCTGCGCCAAGGGAGTTCAGCTACGCTCAAGTGCAATAGGAAGTGCGCATATGGACAAAAATAATTTCCAACTAATAAAAGTACCGATGTCTAGGAGATTAGGCAATAAAAGGTTTGTAAGAAGCCTTAAATCTACACATCTGACTTAGGAATGTCATCATTTTTGAACTGGCTGTTCGAGGCGTCAAAAATTGCAATTAGAAAAGCTTTTGGGAAAGAAGCACATCCGTGCTCAGAGGAGAGTTTCAGCAATTAGTCTGTTGCTTTGGACTACTCACTAATGAACCAATCTTTATCAAGCTTTAAATCAGTTACAGTCGAAGTGAAAGTTAAAAGCAACATTTCAGTCACCAACCTCGTCGACTTTCAGAGTTGAGTGAAGATTGTTTTAAACTTTATTGCTTGTAAAGCATGCCATACGACTCGTGTTTTGCGGTGCTGAAGTACAAAAAAGTAGGCAGTCCAACCTGGTTTTGCACCACATTTATCCAAATGCAAACACACAGACACGCCAACGGCATTGTAAGACTAGTTCTTTCACGTTTCAACGGAGGTGTCGGTTTATTCGTTGTACACAGCATAATCTATCAGCCAATCTGGCAGGAAATTGGTTCATCATTTCAAACACCTTCGCACACGGTATCTGTTTTAAAACTTGCGACAAAAATTTATGCAACAAAATAATTGAACAGACTCTCATGATTTGACTCCAGTTCACAGCGAAACCAGCTTATGCCTGAAAATCCTCGTTGTAGAGCCCTTTTAATCACTCGTCGTAACTTAGAGCTGTCAGACTAAACTCAACTTAATGACATGCCAGGCATGTCATAAGGAAAAGCGTAAAGTTAACAAGCTTTAAGTAGAAATTTGAGACATCAGTAAAAATGAAGAATATTACGAGCTGAACAAAGAAGTACTGTCAGCACATCAAATAAATAGAGTTCTATCGATGAGTTCGAAAAGTTGCAGTCAATGAAAATGGTGTCTACTCAACTTTGTTGTATCGCAGAAGCTTCAAAGAAGTCGAGCTGTGCACACCCATGTTACCAATCATTTATACCTTCAAATGAAGTTCAGAGTTCAAGTAAACAAAGTGCCAAATACTCGACGAACGAGAGATTAAGAGAAACCGCATAGCATTTTTTTTCCATGGAAATAGGGTTTTCGGTATTGGATTAATTGCTGTGTTTCCATGTAGAGCTACCGAGCAGACGATGTCTCAGCCTGGCAGAAATGTTGGGTATGTGCTCATTAACCAGCCTTATTAAATTGTTTGACTGCAATTTTTCAATAAATGTTTTAGCTTTGCTTGCACAAAAGGACATTAAGTTCACCATCACGGCGTTACCAAGTTTGGCAGTTTTGAAGTAAACTAGATGGTAGATTTTGATTTTCCCAGTTTAACAGCGTGAGATAGAGAAGACATTAAAAGTTGTTTTGACTTCTCAAATCAGTTAATTTTGGAGTTTTCAAAGGTCTTGACACTGGAACTGGAAGTTGATTATTGTGGCAGTTTTGTCTTGTGAGGTTGGATATTTGGCTGTTAACATGAGTAGGAAGTATTTGAACCATACGACTGCTGATAC